CTCGTACAGCGCCATTGCTTTACGAGCAACAGACGCCTCATGGTCCTTCTCCCACATCTTCTCTAATACTCGTGCATAATTCTTACAGACTGCGACGTACAAGCGAGCAGAGACATCAGCTTGAGACCAATTCGCGCCATCAGACTACGAATGATATATGTTCATCAATATAGGCGGGTAAGACATTATGCAGCCAACGATAACGTATTAGTCACGAGGCGGATAAGACAAATATATAAAGAACCTCAAATAAGCAGCATTGCTAATCGATTACATTAATGACAGTAACAATTACCTTTTCTACAGACATGTTGGCAAATCCCTCTTTGCGAAGTAAGCCCTCAAATACTTCTTGCGCTTTTTTCCAGTGCTCATTAGACATAAGCCCTAGCGCGTAATTATAGGCCTCTATGATTTCGGTATACTTTTGGACAAATAGACATGAATTAGTTCACCTTCATCGTTCTTATTTAATGATCTTGTAGAATACCATGACACTGACTTTCTGATTAGGGACTATTATGGGCTCCGGAGTTTCGTCTATCGTCTGGTTTATTGCAGTCCAACGTGCCTGAAACATGTGAAATCCAAATTTGCAGAAATTATGAAGCAATGTAGAACTTTTGTAAAGTAACATCCTTTGACAGTCTACAGCATACCATATCGACGGAATTCGAGTACAAAATGTTCAGGGATTTATTCTAGACGTGTTCTATGTATCAATAACACGTTAAGAATTTGGTAGCACGTGTGAATTAAATCTTGCAGATCACTAGAATATTTTTATTTTGACCCTTTTGATCCAACATGTCTCGCCTATTGCTACACCAGTTGTTACATGTTCCAACATCTCGATCCGCTTTGTTCTTGTCCTCACCACCAAACTTCCGATTACCATCGACATTTTATTTAATTAGAAATCAAGTTCGTTTTTCTGGTCATAATAAATGGAGTAAGATAAGACATGGAAAAGGATTGAAGGATGCAGCAAAGAGCACGTATTTTCATCGATTGGCAAAGGATATATCTTTAGCAGTGAAAGGTATGGTCAAGAACATAATTTATCGCAAGCGAAGTGTACGTACGGATTTCGATTGAATAGCCACACCACATTAAATCTCATCGGAATAAAATATCCATAGAGGGCGGATCAACAGACCCTGCGCTGAACGTTCGGCTAGCAACTGCAATAGCAACCGCTAAGAAATCTCAAATGGCAAAAGAGACTATAGATAATGCTATAAAACGTGTATGTTTGCATTTCCATCATATGCTTCTCCATTAGACATTGCATGTTTGGTATTGAATTTGCACTATTACAAGGGTGCAGGGCAGTCCAAGGATGGAACCTCGATTGAAAAAGTCACTTACGAAGCGTACGGGCCCAGTGGCACTGCGTTTATAATGTAATAATGGCGTTTCTGTATATCATATGATTATCATATTGTTCACGTTTTGTCCGATCGTAATGTTGGTTTATTGCGATCTGCTGACATTTAACGTTTTACGGAAGAGAAACAGCGACAGACAACAGAAATAGAACTGTTAAAGAAATCAAGGCATTACTGGCCAAGTT